CGTTTTCATTTTTCACGCTGGTTTTTTATTTTTACGGGGTTAATTATTTTTTTGTTTTTGATTTCTTGTTGTTTCATATGTTTTTTGTTTTGTCAATTGTTTTTTGTCGTTGTCAATTGTTTTTTGTTTTTTTGTCAATTGTTTTTTGTTTGTCGTCCAATTGTTTTTTGTGGTTTTGTCAATGTTTTTGTTTTGTAAATTGTTTTGTGTTTCCGGTCAATTGTTTTTTGTTTCTCCAATTGTTTTTGTTTTGTCAATTGTTTTTTGTTTCGCCAATTTGTTTTTGGTTCGTCAATTGTTTTTTTGTGTTCGTCAACGTGTTTTTTGTTTCCGTCAATTAGTTTTTGTTTCGCTTGCAACGGGTTTTATTGTGGTTCGTCAATAATGTTTTTTGTTTTGTCAATTGTTTTTTGTTTTGTTAATTGTTTTTTGTTAGTGTTAATTGTTTTTTGTTTTTGTAATTAGTTTGGGTTTTTGTTTCGTCAATTTTTTTGTTTCGAGTCAATTGTTTTTTGTGTTTTTTGTCAATTTGTTTTTTGGTGAGAGCCAACGTGTTACGTCAATCGTGTTTTTGTTCTGGTCAATTGTTCTTTGGCCTTTCGTCCAATTGTTAATTTTGGCTGTTTCCCGTCCCATTGCAGTTTTTTGCTGTCTTCGTCAATTGTTTTTCGGTGGACGAGGATTCAGCGTCAAATTGTTTATTTGTCGCGCGGAGGTATCGGGATTTGTCATTAGTCTGTGTACGGGAATTGTTCTCCCTTAAATATGTTTTTGATATTGGCCGTTTAATTGGGTGTTTAGTGTATAATTGGGTTATTAAGTTTTTGATGATGTATCCCAAATTGTTTTTTTTCCCGTAATTCAGAGGATCCAAATAGTGAATTTGTTTGTGTTCAGCCGTCAATTTGATTTTGTCGTTCGTCAATTGTTTTTTTGTGGCAGTTCTCAATTGTTTTTTGTTTCGTCAATTGTTTTTAGTGTATTTTCAGTCAATTGTGTATTTTTGATGTGCAAGACTTTTGTCAAATTTATTTTTTTGTCTAGTTATCCTGGTTTTGTTTGTTAAATTGTTTTTTTATAGATTTTCCTTAATTGTTTTTGTGTTATGTTTAAATTGTTTTACTTGTTTTTGTCAATTCCGTTTTGTTGTTTGTCAATTGTTTTTTTGTTTTTGTCAATTGTTTTTTGTGTTTGTCAATTGTTTTTTTGTCTTTGTCCCAAATTGTTTTTTTTTGTCCCAATTGTTTTGTTTTGGTCCAGCTGTTTGTTCGTTTTGATGAATTTGTTTTGTGGTTTGGCTTGAGCGTTTCCCTGGTCACTCGCAGTATACTGACGCTGTTGTAGCCATCACACCGAGCGTGCGGGTCGAGCGAGCTCCGCCAGCCGGACGCCTCCGGGCCCCAGAGCGCATCGCGACCGGCGGCGGTGGCCCGCACCACGTCGCAACCGCGAAAGACCGTCAGCGGAGGCAGATGACTCGGAGAACACCGCAGCGGGATGCAGGACAACACAGCAGAGGATCGAGAGGCAATCTGCACAGGAACGTGTCCAGCCGCTGCTGTTGACGCCAGCTACGAAACCCAGTACAGAAGAATGCATCAGCCTGCAGCCCGACAGGTACAGATCCTGCAGAAATAGTGGATCGTCGTTTGACAGTTATTCACGACCGAGAGCAACAGTGCTAGGGTGTCCAAATGAAAAGGAATGCGTCAGTTTGTACCCCGGCAAGTCCAATACCTGTAACCGGTCTGTAGGGCATCACCTGATGTCACTGCAAGGCCTCAAACCGGGAGGTCCTAGGGTTCGGGTCCCGACGGTGACAGGATTAGATACATAGCTCGGTTGAATCCAGGCGCTGAATACAAGAGAATTCTAGCGACCGGCTGTTCTGATAGATAACTTTCCATAGTGTCTTCGATCAACACCAGGTGAATACCGAAAGAAACGGCTCACGTATCGCGCGCGATCTTTCCTTTCTCCTCCTTACCCTATCCTCACCCCCTGACGTACATATTCACCCATACACTTACATACCACAAGAAATTCAGAAGAGACGTGATCCGACTGAAATGACCAGTACAATAACTTCTCGTAGCTTGTCCCATTTTCTAAGCTGAAATTCCTGGGAGTGGGGGATTGGTTATCTCGTGTTTCGGGGCCGACCTACACGTTGGCATGCGGTACCTCCCAAGAGCAAGCCAACGCCACAACCGGGGCGAGCTTTAAGTGTGTGAGCGAGAAGTTAAACGGGCACAAGACCAAAACGCCTCTCCTCTGAACCCCTACTATGCACTAACGATCTGGGTGACGTCTAGAAAAATTGGAAAACTCGCGGGCACTTCTAATCTTCCATCACAACCAGAACCGAAGAATTTGCCCTGCCCATTATACGAACTATTTTAAAAATTACGTGTCCTGCTGTGTGGTTTATTTGGATAATTGGGCAATTGGAGGTGAGTTCCTTCCCAAGCGAGGGATGAGAGAGAAAGTGAGTAAAACCCTCCTGGCATGAATGCGAGGGTAAGCGGTGCATTTGGTCGCGTGCGGGCACATCTAAGGTGCCGCCTGGTTTTGATACAGCGACATTCTGTTGACGCTGTGATTCACAGAATCAGTTTTTGACGAGTGTTGCTTGAACGTGTGAAAATTAATTTTAAAACATATCAGATTATGTTGTTGCGCACTGTAGGAATATTTATCTAATCACTCATAATTATTGTCACTTGTAAAGTGCTGATTAATTATTAAACTTACACCTTTTACATGTATGTATTGAGGGTGATTCAGTCCTCGTTGCTAATACTCCGGGACCTTATCCCATTTGTACTGTACAGACTAAATTTGCCAAAATCTGATACTCTCCGTCGTTTCATTTTGTAAATAGTTAACGTTAAACTTTGGAGTGTCCACTTGTGCTTGTGTAACACGGGATATGGCAATAAGTGAGCGGCTTCACCTCGAATTTGGGCCTCGCCACTTCTCTCCAAACTCAATTGCCTGAGAATTTCTACCTGAGAAGCCCCGGAAGCGAGCACATGGCAAATACCGCGCGAGGTCAACGCACTGCCCGTCGTATGGCGAAGAGATTACAACTTTTCCATTTCCATCGGGTACAGTAGACACGTTTTCAATTCTCTAGGCATTTCCTGTGTGCAATAGGCGTTCAGTATCTCAATTTTATAACACGGGTACTCTGCACGCTTTTGGAACTGGAGGTCAATGAAAAATAGAGCTTACGCTACCGAAGTCGACGATCGTGATGACATCCGGCGCATTGAAAATGTAGCGGATGTATACGCAAAAATGATAAACTATGGTAAATAACGTTTAAATAATAATTTTTCTCTCTTTTCACATTCGTTAGTTAAAAAGACAATAATAGAAATAGGGAAAAACATTTAATATAATATTTGGCATACCTTTATTTTGCAAAAAATGACCAATGATAATAACTTTTTATTTCAAAATTTTGAATAGGGTTTACTCTATTACCTTTTGCTCTCATGTAGAACTCTGTCATCGGGTCCCGAATGAACACCGCTTTAATGGCAGTCAGCCGATATCCGGTTACCCTTTACGTCCCTATGGGACGCATACTAGACCATACACTAGACACCAACACATTTGCAGGCTCCTGTGATATGGGGTCAGCAGAAAGACGCGAGGCCCTCCGCGACAACATGAGAGACAAAGGACAAACAACCACGCCGAAGGCGTGACTTGAACCCGCGACCCATTGCACCGAAGCAGTCGGTCGGTCGGCTCTTAGCCACATTGGCCATCCAGATCGGCTTTTATTCACATAATTTAAGAAGAAAAAAACAATTTCTTTCACTCACAAATTCAATTCTGCGAGTTATAAAATCAGCATCGGATTCGGATCAAGTTCAATGCGCTAGACTAGTACCGTAACGCGCCGTACGAAGTTAGAAAATCCACAAGTTTTTCTTGTAGCTAGTACATAGCACGGCACGCCAACGGCCGCAGTGCCTTCACTAGCACCCATTCTTTTTCGAAATAGACAATACGATCGGAAAAATAGGAATGAACAAAAACTGTGCTTCGAAGAGTATAGTTCGAGGCATATAGGCAGTCTCCCTTGACCGGTATGCAATTCGTTGAATTTTTTTAATGATATATTGCAAAAAAGCATTAGAGAGCAAGTACAAACTTAAAATAATTTAGTTTTAATAATCAAAATATTTCGTTTTACACCATTTTATTCGATGTAGTTTTATTTTACATTAGGAATTATCTGTATTTGACCGATTGTTTTTTTAATTCTTATTCGAACTTGCGTACATATAACATTTTAGGTAATAATGTGAAATTTGAGTTGGAACACTAAAAAAACAGACGAAAATACAATGGGGGGGGGCAAGAAAAGAAACACAACAAAGCGCGTGTTCTACCTTATGTTCACTGTCCATCCTACTACGACTATTTGGATCTGAAAATATTAGAATTTTTCATAGATAATTTACGTTTTATTACTTTTTTTCAAGTTACCAGCTAAGAAGTCCTTCCATACTTCGTCTGATGTCGGGCGAATATCGTTGCGCATGGCCGTGTATAAATATTGAAATGACGATTTACTTCTTCACATGCTGGGCAGCCAGAGTGCAGGCTGGCGTTTCTTTGTTTACTGGGTCTGGTAGCTGCCATCTACCACAGCGACTGGACGTGTGTGAATGTTAAAAAGATCTACGTCTTCTTCTTCAGGTGTTGACCTGTCGAGGTGCTGGCTGACACATTCCTTTTCACCGGATTTTCTGGGCTTTAGGTGCTTGATTTGTAGGGATGTGTCAGCTTACACGCCTTTCCGCTAGGTCTAGTGGCAATATCTTTGTTGCACCCGACACTATGAATGTGCAATAGATGTTTTTACTTCTTGTGCAGGTGCTGAAGCAGTCGGACTACAGGCTGATTTTTCATTTTTTGATGGTTTTCGTAATTGTCTTCAACCGCAACCGGCTGGACATGTGTGAACTTCTTCTCCATGCGCTGAATCTGACGGAAAAGGGCTGGCTGACGGCTTCCTTTTCACTGGGTTCTGCTTGTCAGTTGCACTGTTGCTTCAGGCCCTGAAAGTTCCTTAATGTTCAAACGACAATCTACCTCTTGCTGAGCCACATAAGCCAGTGCTAGGAGTGAACGATAGCTATCGATCAGGTGTGGGCGTTACTCCTGAAGCCTGGTCGGAGGTGTCATCGTCAAGGGAGCTGAAAATGTGACAAATTCGCGTCCTTCTTCAGAGCCTCAAAATCCTCACGGTTAAACTAGCGGTGAATGTTAGAGCGGAATCAATGATATGGCTTAACAACAGAATTAATATGCGTATGTATTCTTGGCTATCCGGGATGAGCCGCGTCTCGGTCAATGGTACTGACGTTTCGGCCATCTTGCTGTGGCCTCCTTCAGAGCTATACTGCAGTATAGGATAGCCAAGAATACATTGACTCCGGCCGCGGAAGCCTACGAACCCATAGAATTAATATGAATTATATATACTTTCTGTAAATCGTTTCATTTACCTGAAGCTCACGGATATTCACAAGGAAGTCGTGAGGCACTGTGGTTAAAGGGTTGTCCGCCAGGATGAGCTCGTGCAGGTTGCGCAGTCGCCGGAAAAGGATGCGAGTGGCGGTCGAGTTCACATCCGACAGGTTGCAAGCGCTCGCGTCCAGAACTCGCCACTGCAAAATTCAGCACGATATCGGTTCATTTGTCTACAAATTACTCAAGCTACTAACATTCTCAGGCAGCGCGTCTTTATATCTCAAAACGTGCATGGATTGATCTTGGTTCAAAGCAGCTTGCCACTGTACGTAACATAATTTCTTATGGGCTCACTTCATAACCGATGTAGGTGATAATGCATAATTTAATATAATAATAGAAAAGTAATACTATTCCTAATTTAGGGAGAATAAATATTCAAGTAAATAAGAATTTAGTGGGCTACATAAGTCATTACATAAAATTTATATTGAGAATGATGGGTACAAATTAACTTATTGTAATGTGTATTTTAATAACTATTCTGGCTATAGGAATTAGTTTCCGTTTCATGTTTTTCTAATGAGGTAATTGAATATTTACCAAGGTTAAATCAATGGAATGTCAAATAGATAAGATTCTCGTTTATTGATTGTCCATTAACACACATTGATGTACCACATTGTGATACAATGAAATCAGTGAAAATTGCACATAACTTTCCTTGTGCGAATACATTTACGTTCCCGCTCACCTTATCGCCAATCATCGTGCCATTGTCATCTAGATTTTCAACTCCTTCGTCTAGTATCAGTGTGTCGAGGCTCTCAAGCGGTATTCGGGACACGTTCAACACTTCCAACTGCTGCAGTGAACGCAGAATTGGCGCAAATTGCATCGTCTCCAAAGGATTACTGGACACGTTGAGAGTTCTCAGACTACGTAAAGTCCGTATACCAATTGGAACCGATGAAAACTTGTTATTGGAAAGATCGAGATAAACTAAGTTGGGCATTCGAGGAAAATTTTCTGTAATAAAAAAAGAAGTAAAAAATACTAAGCATATGAAAACAAATAATTCCAGGTTCATCAATATAAATTAACAACATAAAAACTAGTGGTGCACATACTTTCTTGCCCTTAGTAATGGTTACGTAATACTATTTATTCTGCAATTTCTTTCCGAATTAACGCATCTCAGTCACCAGTTTTTGTAAAAATCATTACAAATTGTAGAAATTTTATTACGGGTTCCCAGGTCTGTGGTCAGCATACTCACAAGGCCTTCATCGACACATACATACACAAAAGACAAGGGACAACAATCATCCCCACGGCGTGACTCGAACCCGCGGCCCTTCAGACAGACGCGCTGAGTCGGCACACACCTGGGTCATCCTGGGCGACAATTATAACTGCGTTTCAGACAAATAACGTATGTCCCAACAAAGAGACTAATTCACAGAACTACAGCTGCCTTCTCGCGGGGCGGAATGACATTGTCGCATTCTAATCTGATATATCCCGTAGGCCAGCAATTTTTGTTTCATATTACATTTGTTTTGTATTTTTAGAAGAAAAATCCTAATTAGGCGAATTTCAATTAAGGTTTGGGGATTGTTTGAAAGAAAATACATGAATATATTGAGAATGGAAATACATTCCTTGCAACACGGTCGGTGAACTTGAATGAATAAGTTTATTCTATTTGATTTCGTTGAAATAATCGTCACCTATTAACTCAATATCCCTTTTTAACATTCCTTTTGCAAATAAATTTGAGTCAGAGACAAGTACTTTGAAAGTTAATTCTACAACCAGTTCTGAAAGCAATTCCTTGAGAACATAGCATTGGATGATAGGTAGTGCTTGGTAAACTACTTGACGGAAAGTCGATTGCTGTCCAAGGTACCCCAAAATACCCAAAAGTAGTCTGAAATTGTCGTTGGCAGCATGACGGGTAGAGGGGCGGTACGGCTCTCAGGGGAGTCTGGCAACTGGCGTCAGTTAATTCCAACCTCTTGCAGTGTGTATATCGTGCATTTTGTAGATTAATTATTTCATGTTTCCGAGAGCGTCAACTACTACGATAATTAGTCCCGTATCTGTCGGGCATGTTTATATCACTGAGCGTGGTGGAGTTCTTCCCCAACTGGATGGCAAGGTCCGCCGCCGACCTGCACGTCCGCTTGCGAGGTTTTCTCAACCACGCATCTGTTACCCCGGAGCACCGCCCCATTTGGACAAACTCTGCGCTGATCTCCCGACATGAGTGATAGTGTACTGCTTGCAAGGCGTGTGTGCGTGCGTGTGTGAGTAAAGGGTGAGGAAAGGACAAGTACGAAGAAGGAAATATCGCGCGCGTTCTGTCACCTGTTTGTGAGGGTATTGCTCCTACATCCGCTTGTCATTCATCGAAGATACCACAGAAAACTACAGTAAAACCCCGTTTTTACGTTCCCGCATTTTACGTTTTCCTGCCTTTTACGTAATGTTTCGATGGTCCCGTTGAAAAGCCCAATATATTTACAATGCATTATCTTCCCGCAATTTACAACTTGATATGAAGAATGCTTCCCGTATTTTACATCTTTATTTAAAATTTATTTGATTTTTTTTTTTACTTTCTCATTTACGTACGTTATATACCTAGTGCTGAGAAAGTTATGTAATGCTGCGGCAAAACACGGCGATTTTTTGACAGAAAAACGCGTACTGACACTGAAAAAGTGGATAAATCCTGTTCCAATATGTAGTACATTACTACATAAGTATATAACGAAATCGCAAAAGTCTCGCGTTCGTTCAATTCAATCGAGGAATATCAATTTTGGAGAAAATTGGCAGGCAGTTTACACGCTCACGTTGACCACAGACGTGCATACAGGTTTTCAGCCGAAAAAACAGCCGTCAATCGAATTTGCTGTTTCAAGGATCCATAAAACAGGGATTCATGCTACATCACGTGTTAGAGGAAGTAATTTACTATATATAGGAATATGATTATCCACTTTTTCATTGCCAGGTCACGTCAATACAATTTTCTGACGATAATCACCGATTCCGACACATGCTTACTTTTTTACAAAGGGCGAGAAAGTGAAAACAGAGTAACCATTGCAGTAAATAAAGAAAATACTCGCCTAGGCTATCGGTTTTCAACTTTCCTTCATTTTACACTTCTTTTCATCGGTCCCCTAAAAAGTGTAAAAGAGGGGTTTTACTATACCGCTCAGTGTAGCCGGCCGCTAGAATTCTCCTCTACACAGGCGGTGAATTTGACTTAGCTACTACTAACTACTGTCAAAAATCCTACAACCGATGGGACTGGAACCCGTGAACCTCGCGGTCAGAGGCACTGCAGTGACATCTGTTGATTATCCGAGCCACCTCAACCGATGCGCATCTTGTGAACTTCAATCAACATCTTTGTCCCGATCCATAATGAACAGTTTACATGAACAGCGCTACGTAATTTAACTTCGCCTAAACTGGATAAACCTGTAAGTGAATCTCTCATCATCTGAACATCTCAACAAGATGATACTATAGGGAGCTCTGCACGAAAAAATAACAGTTGCGTATAAAGAACAGTTATATAAATATAATATAATAACAGCAATATAAACAGTTGCGGGCGGGGGTCGGGCGGGGCGCCCCCCTGCCATCAGCACAGAGCCCTTTCCAATTCCTGCTTCCCCCCCCCCACCATCAGCACAGAACACTTCGGAGGCATCTAAGAAGGTACCTTGCTTCTGCGACTTGTAACTGCTCTGCGACGTGTATAGAGGAGGGAACCAGGTCCGTTTATGAAGCATCATCACCTTTCCAGCAATCACATGCCGGTTATTCCAGCAAGATTGACTTATCTTAAATGTTGTCGCATCCAGGAAAATAAATAAAGCAACCATGTTTCCGTTTAGCGTAGCTAGGTTTTGTGTAACTATCGAAAACTTGTTGCGATTTATGGGTTCATTTTTCTCAGTGTTTTTAAGTGGCACAAGTCGTTCCGACCAGAAAGATATTGTTGATGCCCACAGTACAGAAGGGAAATTTAATTTTCTACATGAGATTCTTTGAACGTCAACGAATAATAATTGTCCGCATTCACCCTGCCATTGCAAATACCTGGAAGTTCCACTACCACTACGCACCGTACGACACCGTTCTCTTTGTGAAGAATAATGCCGTAATAACGCTGTTTAGCCACCCTTCAGCCTAGATATTGCTCCCCCAGAATTATTCCTTCTTCCCTGCCTCGCGTCCTCGCTGGCGCAACATCGACACGCCACAGTACAGGCAGTTCAGCAGGTCTTGATGTAGAAACTGTACGGAATTCTAATTACCGCATTCTAGAAGAATTTTTAATTGTGGCAAAACCGCTGCTGGTGGTGGTGGTGTGTTGAGATACAAGAACTCTATTTCGAAGTGCAAATTTGGGCAATAATACTTTTATTGCACGAGTCCGACCTTTTTGGAGCAAACCAAAAAATTGAGAAATTTTCAAGCTCGCATGAGGACGAGGCAAGGCTGAAATCCTAACACACACCAATGAAATTAGAAAACTAACGACTGCGAAAAAGTCTGTACCATTCTATATCACTAGTTATGATCCGTGTCAGAACATGAGATATCTATTAAAAACGAAGAAAAAAATATTTTTTTTCATTTTTTTTCTCTTATTTTTTCTTGATTGTAAGAATTAATATAGGATATAAACACATAAAAAATTTCAAGAACGATTAAAGATGATATTCACAGCTTAATGTTATCAAAATATTTTAACTGATATAAGAAGCTATAAGACACTTATTCCACTTTAAAGGCTAGAATTCTGTTCTATTCAGCGACTGGATTCGACCGAGCTATGTACCTAATCCTGTCACCGTCGGGACTGGAACCCTAGGTCCTCCTGGTCAGAAGCCTTGCAGTGACATCAGGTGATGCCCTGCAGACCGCTTGCAGGTATTGGACTTGCCGGGGTACAAGCTGGCGCATTCCTTTTCATTTGGACACCCTAGCACTGTTGCTCTCGGCCTTGAATAAATGTCAAACGACGAAAATTTAACTTAAAACCATGGAAAATTTATTTTTAATACTTTAAATACGATTTTCAACAATCAATAATTTGTTTCCCGGGGGCACGTTTGCCCATCTTATCCCAGCCTCACCGTCGCTGAGCTCGGCCAGCCCGCTCCCCGCGAAGTCGACGCGCTGCAGGCTGCGCAGCTCAGCCAACGCGAGCACGCTGGCGTTCCAGTGGTCGCCCCCGTGGACGGTGACTTCCTCCACCCGCGAGTACTCCTTCAGCGACCGCAGGATGGTCGAGGCCAGCGGCGTGTACGCCGGTTGGAACTCCATGAGGATGCCCTTCGCCAGGTTCAGGTACAGGTTCAGCGTGGCCGGCGTCCATAGCAAATCGATGTGCCACATCTCGGTGGGACACGAGCTGAGGAAATGGAAAACAGATTTACAGAAGATACGTTGGTCAGTCAGAGAAAATCGAACAACTACACAGAGTACGAGGTTTACTAATATGACGTTGGAACTAACCACAATCAAATACTTAAAATTCATATTATATTGTTAATTATATTAGCAAATTTTCTTTCATTTTATATTATATCAACTCCAAAGCATTACCAACGTCTGCAGAGATAGCGAAATTAGGTTGGGAAAGAAACGACAGAAGCAAGGAAGTTAAATAACAGAACATTGAAAAGGGTTTTTGTGAAAAGATTTACTCAGAGTCCTGATTCTTTTCCCTGAATGAGGAGGACCTCTTTTGTCGTGAGAGGAAAGTACTGGACAAGGAACTGTTTGAAAAATAAGTGAGCACTTGTTTGGTACTTCCATTCCAGAAACAGTTTCTTTGCTGTTATGCTTATTAGTTGGATCAATGAAATTTTCATGATTATGATCTGTATCAAAAGACCTAGTGGACTTCTTTACTATATTCATTGGCATTCTGTCTACGAGAAATTACCTGACATCTCTAAGGCAGAGACCTTCGAAGTTAGTGGTGTAACCAGTTCTCGAAGCACTAAATGATAAAAGAGCATTGGACACCAGCTAGTGTATAATAAGGAACTTGTTGGAGAGTCGGAAAACATATTAAAAACTAGTATTTCCCATAAAACCAGAATAATAAACACATTACCGCAGTGATTATTCACTAATTAACAGTATTCTTATGTATCGTATCTTATTCATAAGAAGACTGCGAGAACAAAACACACAAAATTAGTGGTGCTAGATAGCAAAATAATAATAAATATTTGTTTATATATATATATATATATATATAAACAATTAATATTGACACTTGTATGTAATTCGATCTTTCAAATTTTTCGAAAATTCTTGAACACACTTACACATTTTATAATCGTATTTGAAACTCGCAAGGTATTGAGTTGCCATCGAGAAATATTAATTTTTAGAAAATCCTGATCGAAAAGAAAACTGCGTTGAATAGCCTTTAGAATATTTTATGTTTATCACGAAGGCGAAACGCCGGAACATAGTTAGCAACTTCGATTCGCGATCTGCACCGTCAACTACGATGTAAAAGCATTAGATTAATTTAAGACAAAAGTCCACTCACGGGTAGTTTGCAGTTTTGCCGTTAGCGCTGCCATCTTAGCCTATGACCCCATTAACGTCTAATTTAGCGGCGAGGCTTTCCCCATCATTCCAACCCATAAAAGAGAGAATTATTACCTCGAGCAACTCATTTTAGCTATCAAGCATAATAGTTAATCAGAATTATTAATTTTGTTGAGAATAACTTTGACCAAATTTGGTAAGATATTACTTATAATGGCTAATGTAATTCACAAAGCTTTATTTTTGTATTCAATGTGTTATTTTATGTATCGAGACTCAGGTCATGAAGTCCACTCTTCTGTTTGACAATGCAAATTTCGCTGCGCTCCTTTCCCCATATAGCGGAGAAAGAAGGAATCTCTAGAGCGATTGACCAGCCATTTTAATTTAGCTCAGAGGTTCTTTTAGGCTTGAAGATCTTTTACATGGAGTAAATATACAACATGGGACAGCCATATTTATTTCCCTTCCAAAGGAAGGCGTACGAAGGATTTTTTCGTCCTTATAAATCCACGGCATAGATTGAGTATGGACCGATACGATAACCGTTATACTTCCGTGTTTGCATATAACTTTCATCAAATTCTGTAAATATTGTACTAAATGGCTATTAGGGAGCGGATTTTGATGACCGAAAACATATACAAAAATGATCAATAAAATCCTCGTAAAAGGTTTTTAAAATACACTAAAAATAACAAAAATTACGTAAAAAATTTGATCAAAACACGTTTAAATGATCAACTTAATGTGGATATGTTATTGATGTAATCAAGGTTTCTTCCTTTCGTTCGAAGGAACTCGTGGAGCAAACTCTTAGTTTCGACTGGTCTTTACCAGGAAAAATCTGTCGTTATCGCGAAATCGGTCGAACCGTGAATGGCACAATAAGCGTCGCCGGAACCTTAGATTACATTCTCACAACGGCTGACGTTACAATTTCTAAGCGAAGAAATGGAGTAGGCCACTCAAGACCACTGGAGAACATTTGTTGAAGCTCGTAAATATTATTTCAAGCAAGTACCATTAAAATGATATTAAAAACATCGAGCATTTAAAGTGTCACGTCAATTCAAAATCAACGAAAAATGCACAAACAAATGCCATACAAAATGGTTCATTTCCTTTTGCCATAACATAAAATTATTGTCTATACTGAAAGGCTAGTGACGTCACTATGGTGAGGTATTATTCAAGCTCCCGATTCGATGAAACTGTCAACTGCTGATACCTGCTATATGTAAGCCTAAAGCAAGGCGATCTGTTTTACACAAGACTTGTAATCCACCCACACAATGTTTAGTCCAAGTGGTAATTCGTTACATAATATCATAATACTGAAAAACACAGATGATGTGGTAATTTTGCCAATAACTTCATTCAGCCATTTTCTCCAAATAACAGGAGGACGGCGGGATATGCCACTATTGCGCTGACACCTATATAAGAGATTGTAACGTTCGCTACAGTTACAATAATTAAAACGTACGGTTTTACGCTACTCTGCCCTGGATAA